TACTTTGGTTTCTGTAAAACGAACCAAATGATTGAATTGTATGCAGCTTAGAACTCGCTGAAGCGGGTGCCCTGGTGAGTTTTAAGAGGTTTTATACATCCAAAGAGTTTCTATAAAATCAAGACCAGGCTTTCAATTGCAACCTGCGTTTATTCGTCAAAACATGTAGCCACGCCAGGCTAGTAAAGGAGACCTGCATCTAATTGGGACCCAAGTTTTACAGTCTAAATGAACCTAATTTAGTAGAGTAAATCTGATTTATGTCTCAACAAAAGTCAAGTCTGTGTTTAAAATGCCAGAAAGGGACAAGCAGTCACAGCTTTTCCATATGTTGTTGACAGTTACATTACTCTGGGGTTTCCCAGGGCTGAGGCTGTGCTCAGTCTCATGTCCATGTTATTTTGTGAAGAAAGGCTTTAATTTTCTGCTCTTTAGTACCCACATTCCCTTGAACTAACTGGTCTATTTCCACATGAATGCTTCCCAGAATGGAGAACAACCCTCAGAGAACGAGAGTGAGCTTGTTGCATTCAGCTGTCTGTGTGTTGTACACGCAGGTGGACAGTGTTGTAGTAATAAATTTTGCTGAGCTGTTGTACATTTTTGGGAGAAATGAGTCACACCCCTTACTCAAAACTCAAACAGCACCTTGTCTTGTATGCTGACACCAGACCTCTGAATTGCTGGGTTTTTTTCATCAGTTGAAATAGGTTTGGTGTCTGAGAAACACCCGAGCCAATCAGAACTCTGTAGGCGGGATTAAGAGTTGTGGCGTCATCTTTGTGTGCCAGAGTCAGAAAAATGGGCGCAGAATAATCAGCACAAAAACTGTGGATGAGATCGAAGCAGCTATACGGACCATTGTAGGTCAACTCATTAGCTCCGACTACCAGCTCGCTGTTTCTGTTACACTGCTGTGGTCAGTCCGCCAATCACTGCGGTCGGTGTCGAGGCCACGACCTCTAAAGTCACTGTTTTAAATTTGCTGAGAGGAATGGAGCTAGCAGAACACTGGAAGTACTCATTTCGATATTCTGTATCAGCAAGTACCCAAATGTCCTTCCAAAATCTACTTTATAAACAACTAGTCAAAGCTTCACCAGTTCACAGCCTCTTACCCTGTCCACTGTCAGTTAATATACAGCATCAGATCGACAGAGTTGAGTTTCTGTTTCTGTTGAACTGTCTCCAGTTCTGAGAAAGTGGCCATGTTGTGGAGGAAAGGTGGGCAGTGTGATGCAAGGCTGACAGAGGAGAGACAGGGCTGTGTGGTAAGCAGCACCCTTGTCGTGGTGCCAGGGAGGGTGTCAGAGGGCAGAGAGAGGGCAGAGAGAGGGCAGAGAGAGCGCAGAGAGAGGGCAGGGTGGCACAGACTTCACCAGCAGACATTGTCCGCAGCAGCAAAATGCTGTGTCAGCCCCCAAAACCAATGACTGTCTCTGTCTGAGGTTTTACTGTTTGCGTATGTCTGACTTTCTTTTTCAGTGTTTCTTCTTAATGATGCTGATGTGATTCATCAATTCCCAGCATGCCCCTGCGTCTCTGTCTGGCATGAAAGAACAAAATCAACATCCCTTGTCCGATTGAATACCTCCCACTGGCTTTCTCTCTTTGGTTTTTATCGTTTAGTCTTTAGGAATCGATCCTGTCATGTTGTATGGGACACTGCCCTGCTTAATTTGAGTTCGAACAGACATATTTTACTACATTACATGAAAGTATGGCTGATAGTCATGGAGAGGATTACAGTATCCAGAGGTAGTAGCCTTTCTCTGCATCCTCTTTTGTTCAAGAGAAATCCGCAGTGACTATGAGTCAGGAACTACAAAGAAATAAGGAGGAAAAGGAGGTGTTGGTATCGCTGTGTAAGGAGGAATTTCACCACAGTGTTTCCATTGTTTCTCTCTTCTGTCAGTGTAATAACTTCAGTTCAACTGCTCCTCTCCTCATTCCTCCTCCACTCCTTTGTACTCCACTTGGAAGAGGTTAGCACTTTCCCCTCAAGGTTCAGGGTGTGAGTGACCGTGCTAGGGGAGGATGGAAGGTCTGAAATTCATGGGAAAATGTTCTCATCCTGTCCCCTTTGAATTTAATTTGTCTTGCTGCGCTGTGAGAATGTTTTCTTCGGATTGTGAGCGTGCTGCATTTAGGTATAATTGTAGATTTCTTAACATTTATTTACCCTGGGTTTGTTAGTTTCACACTTACCACAATTACCTGTTACTCACCCTCTGTCTCTGTCTTGCTGGATCAGGTCTACTTGTGTAATAGGCAGCCTCCAAGTTTCTTCCTCCAAGCAGTTGACCTTTGACCTGTTTTGGGTGGAAGTACTGTGACCCCTCTTTGAGCGGTGAAAGATGCTGCGTGTTTGTTTGCAGTGAGGGGAAACTGCTCCGAGGCTGACTCCTTGACCTTTTAGCCTTGGAGAAAGAGGTCAATGACGCCTGAAGTAGCTTCCTTCCGACTTTAAGTGTTACGTTTTCGAGCCTTTTTCCAGCCATTCTCTTCTGCTTTACTTTTAAAACCGTTTATTTATTCAGACCTAACTTCAAGCTAACAGCAGAATTTAACTTTTAATCTTTATGTTAGCTGTTCTTTATCCCCTCCAATGAGAACTGTAACTCCCTAATGCTGAAGCCATACATCAAGCATCGGGTTCACAGGGCCATGATCGGGGGATTTTCTGTGACATTCAGTGTGACTGAAACTGAACACCAGTTTTAAGTGCAGGCCAGAGCTAATGAGAGACATGTCACGCACCTGATGATGGCTTACCTGCTCACTTGGCTGTCAGTAATGTTGTCAGTTATTTCAAAGTGGTTTCTTCTTCTATGGACACTCCATGAATGATTTTTGTTTATTTTCAAGCTCTATTGGGTCAGGTCCAATAAGTTACTCGGTCAGTTGGTAAAAGGATGTTCTTCAAAAACAGGACAGAGCACATTGTGACAGACAACATGATTATTTTCTAGGGCTGCCTCCAACCAAAGACTGTCCTAGTATACTGGTAGTTGTGAGTTAAACCCATTGCACGTTTATGATATTAATACATACACATCTATGCTTTGTTAAACGCTAATGGCAAACACGGTACTGATCCTGAATGTGTCCGAACAATCAGCATGGAGCAACATAACATCACACAAGTCACAATGTTCAAAACACGGAATAAATAACTTCACAAAAACTAATGCTCACACCTCTTCTGTCTCTGCCTCAACCCGCTGGGTCTTCGTCAGAGTCCTGGTCGGAGCCGCTGTAAATCACCTGGACTCTGTAGGCTGTGAAACTGGTTCCGTTGGGCGCTCACCTGGCTCTGGTTCTGGTGCTCATTTTTTTTCTTACTCTGCCAAACAAAAGCTCAAAACATTTTACTGTCAAAAGTAAAACGGTGATGTTTAAAAGCTGGCAGTGCACCACTGTTCCTGTAAGCTTTCTCTCATATTTATCAGGTTTCCGTGTTACCGGTTAAGGTTTTCCAAGTCCTTTGAAAATAAATTAGTTTTAATCATGGAACAGTCCCGGATGGACCGAGGTTTGCCTCATTCAGAGGAATGAAGGATTACATCATCCCTGGAGCAGAGTGGAGTAACTCCCTGGCTCCCCTCACACACCTCGCTTCCTCCCTCACTCCCTCCTTCCATTTAGTTTCTCCTTCTCCCTCTCGAACTTATCTTTCCCCACTTCCTCTCTCCTTGTGTCACTCTTACTGTAGGCTGCCTGCTGAGCTTTGGGACAACCTGGCCTAGTTCACTCGGTCTTGTACCTCCATGTTACCCGTTCGCATTAGCTGACACGGATCTGAAGGTCTTTTCTTCTAAATAAGTGTCTGTTCTGTTGGAAGCCAGCCAGTGCGAAAACAGGCTGCTGGCTCATCCAGCGACGTCATGGGAGATGTGACACACATACGTATGACCTCAGCGGCTGAGGCAAAAAATCCCCCTCCATTTAAATTTGAAATTAGTGGGGAAATTAGAAATTATTGTGATTTTTGAGCAGTTAGTTCAGGTTTTCTGGATTTGTGGGATCCAGCGAGCGATTGATTCTTTCCATTGTGTTCTGAGAGGGAAATAAATGTTGATTTTGATCTGAAAACCACCCAGCATGAAGCCTGAAGCTGTAGGTTTTTGTGGTATATTATAAAAACACACTTGAACTTGAAAAAAATGAATCCTGGAGACTAGTTTTCCAGTCATGGAAACACCTGGAAATTGTTTAAAATGACCAAAAATTGTGGAAATAATCTATGTTGTCCTGGAAAATGTTGATTGTATTTTAGACTCTCACTCATTGCCTACATAAACCTGGGTCCGTATTTAGTTTAAAACTCAACAGTTGGTAGCTGCGCGGTATTAAACACAACGAAAAACTTTTTAAACGCTTCATTTTCATTTCGCCCCTTGTCAGTCAGTCTAGTTGTTTATACCAGACGCGCAGTGGGACGGACTTGCATCGAGCTTTTCGGCATCGTAATGAACCTGAGTAAATTGAGACTGTTTGGGATTAAGTGCTGTCCTGAATTGTCCAGAAAAACCTTAAAAATGTCCTGGAAGGATCCTGGAAAATGAGTAACTGTGTGTGTAAATGTTTGCATAAATGGATGAAATGAATGTGAACCTTGTTTGGAAGGCTTCAGGGTCTGTGGTCTTCCATCTACGCGGTCAGAGCTGCAGCTGTCCACTCAACCGGGCAGAGAGAGCTGTGCATCAGCACCGAGTTGACTGTGACATTGGGATATCTTTGGACAGCAGATGTATTTTCTAGTTTCACCTCATATGTCGGATTTAGAGACAAGATCCTTAGGGTTAAGAGTGACGGTGGTGGTCAAATTCATACAGACACACATCTCCCAGGTCGGAAGTGAAACCGGCCTGCGTCCTGGCTCTATTTGTGTGGCTGTCCAAAGCTGTTGCCCTGACCAGTTGGTATCTATAGCCCTGGTCCAAGATGATAGGAATGGGCTCCTAGCGGCCCACTGACTCGGACAACAATAGAGCTCCATGACCTCCAGGTTATGTATAGAGCTGTACAGCCACCACCAGCAGCCTACACAGCTCGGTGTTAAGAGTAAGAGCAAAATAGAAGGATGACAGTGCAGTGGGTCCTGCGTCTGAGACACAGGAGGTATAAATCTGGAGTTTAAGTCAATGCTAGGCCTACTGGTAAATGATATGACTGTTTGTGTGCAAGTGGTGTCCTGAATTGTCAAGAAAAAGCTTGAAAATGTCCTGGAAAGATCCTGGAAAATGATTTCTTAAGAAGAGTCAGTCAGGGTCACCCACTGGCTGGCAACTTAATGAGTCGCTAACATTCGAATTCATACTGTCACAGCACGATGCACACGCTTGACAAAAACTTTATTTTGAGCTGAAATTATTTAGTTTTTAATGCTTATTGTGTTTTGTCTCCTCCTACAGGGCTGATCAGCCAGTGGCAAGGTGAGTCTAAGGAGCGCGTCATCTCGCTCGTCCTCACCCACCTCCCTCTGCTCAAACCCGGCAACGTTGAAGCCAAGGGCGAGTACATGCGCCTGCTGCCACGCATCCTGGCCCACACCATCGAGCATGGCCACCACCTGGAGGAGTCCCGCCAGCTCCTGTCCTACGCCCTCATCCATCCCGCCACCTCCCTGGAAGACCGTGCCGCCCTGGCACTCTGGCTCAACCACCTGGAGGAGAGGGCCGCTGCCCGGGGAGACTCCCTGGAAAGGCCTCCTCCAGCCGGGCCTCACCATCACCACCACCAGTCCACGCCTCCATCCACCCTCACCTCATCAGGATCCTCCTCCTCCACTAACACCTCTTCATCAGGCAATCTCTACACATTGCATCTCCACCAACGCTACGGCTCGGACGACCGCCTCAACGGGTGGCAGAGCTCCAGGGATTCAGGGCTGGGCGGAGGCTGGCATCAGCAGCAGCAGGGCTGTGAGAACGGGCACCTCCTTCTCTACCCATCATCCTCTGTGCCGGCAACCATCAACACAGTTGGAACTGGTGGAGGCGGTAACACTAGTAAGTGAAGTCTCCTCTGTCCTGTGCGCCTTTTACTGTGTTCAGCCATTTTCTAATCACGTGGTGCTTTTACGGCAGTCGCACAAAGTCAGCGTGTGTGGTTTGTTCTGTGGTAGTGGCCACATAACGTAAAGTCCTCACACCTATTACAGTTATTACATTCATTTGTCGCCCTTATCCATACACACATCATGTTTTCATCAGGTATCACAGGGATAAAGATGGGCTGAAAGACATCAGGGATGACCGTAGACAAAAGCATGTGAGCATTCGTTAGCTCCGCTCCTCCGTTCAGAGTCTCCATGGGTCTCTCCGCTCAAAACTAAACCTCAACTCAGATATCACTCATTAAAATCACTCACTGCTCACTCCTGCTGCGTTGTATTTTAATTTGATCTTAAACCCTGTTTAAGCTGCATGATAAAGCTGAATGTGCACACCAGGAACACACAGATGAGACACAGAGACAAAAGCCCTTCCCTGCAGATCATCACAAGAGGGTCCTTTTAACTTCATTGCTGTAGAAGAAGCGACACCTCGCTTATGAGCACAGTTGCTTGTTGACTGTTGCACAGAAATGTGCTTCTGACATACGCAGCCAGACTCGTGCTGACACACAAATTAACAATGAATGGGAAGCATGGAAATGATCCTGGTGACACACACAGTGGTACCAGGGATACTCAGACTATACTGAAACTAAAGAAGGAGGCCGAGATAAGGATAATGATTTTAAATAATAGCTTGTATTCTTTCCAGGTCTCCTCTGTCATTTGCTGGAGGATCCTCTCTATCAGTGAAAATAAATATAAAACAAACCATAAAGTTTCTGGTTTAAGGTCTAACAAAAAATAAATAGACACCACACAGAATACCTCAAACCAGTGAAGATTGATGACTGTGCTCTTCCTTGGTCACAAGTTTAAGCTAATCATCAGTATTTATCCTTCTTTCGTTCATTAGCATTGGATGGCAGGTTGATTTCCTTTGATTTCCCCACTTCATGGATAAAATGCCAAAAACGTCCACACTACTTCACACCAGGTCACCTCCGCACATGAAATATATTGATTCTTTCTGCATCTACTCCTTTTGACGCATTGCAGACAATTTTTGAAGTTGTTCTAGGCTACACACGCCGGACGCCTGAATTCAAGAGCACAAAGCCTTTCACAGTTCTTTTGCTTTACTTTACTCACTGCATGTCCTTTGATAACCTTATCTTGTTCCCACATGAGATGGGCTGCACTTCAGCCCAGACTGGCACGTGTACTTCCAGACTCGAGGTGGTCGTAACCACTACACCATCTGAGAACACCTCGGTGATTACAGCCACCTACTCAGGGCCTGATGGTAGCCTCTCTGTCTGGGCTGGCCACCTGATCGCCTGCGCTCAGGCACAATTTCACACTAGGGTCTCTAAACTTTAACTTATGTGGCAAACGGCTCAAACAAGGCAGCTTTAGTCGGTCAGTAAGGAGGTTTTGCAGTCCCCACTTGAAAGGAAATACAGTAGGCAGTTGTATTACAGAGTTTTATCTCTAGTGTAGTTAAAATTGTAGGAATTTGATGATGATAATAATAATATTTTCCACTAAGAACATCTGTATAGCAACAACATTTAATTCAAATGCTAAAGGAACTCTTAAGACACGCTTCAAACACACTAAATACACCCTGAACACACTAAATAGACTCATCATCACAGTAAACACACTCTGGTCAGACCGACTGCACTGCGAACAACCCACACAGCAACTACAGGGGCTGTGTGAGGTGGGAGACAACACAGAGAGGGCAGGGCTGTTGAAATTGAACATAACTATGGTCAGAGCAGGATATTTCCAGACAAGAATGTAAGGGCTCTGTGTTTTTTTTCTTCTTCTTTTTTTTCTGGGAGATGAAAGAAACAGCTGAGGGTTTATAAATAAAGACACATTTAAAGCCCTGCTCACTGCTCCAAGAAAGATCCTCTTGTATTTTTGACTGCTAGCAGCTCCAGTCCCACACAAAAGACCTCAGCGTAGCGTAGTAGCCACGGGATTGGGGGACACGTCTTAACTAAGAAGTAGAAGAAGTGTTAAATACACATGTGGAGAGATGATACAAATATGTTTCTTCACTGTTTTGGGAATCAAATCTCAATTCAGTGGAATACAGTAGAGTCACCTCCTACGTGCTCTGGTCATGACGGCAATTACAGGAGTATAATTGTCCGACCACATCAACCTGTGTGCGACTGATACCACATCCTGTTGACCCCCTCACCCATACTGTCAGCCTTAGTCCAAGCCGCAGCAGCACATACCACCCATCCTTTCCCTTGTAAGGCAGCCTTTGTGGGAGACTGTATTTAGGGAAAATGGCTAATATTTAGGGACTGGAACTTGTAATGTTAGCTGGGCACCTATTTTAAACGGGGCCCATGAAGTCCTATACATAGCGCAAACAGTAAGAGGACCGCATATAGGAGGAGGAGAGAGGCTGCAGTATTGGTGGCAGCTCACCCCGTCAGAGCGGCGACACAAAAAGCTCTTTGGCTCTCCACCTTTTCATTCAGTTTACCTCCTTCAGCGGGAAAACACTGTGATGTTGAGAGCTGCTCTTATCGGGTTTAAAACAGTGGGATTTTGTTGCCTTGGTTTGACCCAAATAGGTCCTCATGATGAATTCATCCTGCGCAGACTTCAATTATTAATAGAGAAATGAGGTGAGAGAAGAAGATGGAGGAAGAAAGACACATTTTTTCGGCAGTGGATTGATTTAAGCGCATAGCTTCAAGGTTGAGTCTCCAAACCAACAAGCAAGCGAAGGAGAGAATTTAGATTTAGACCAAGTGAATATAAACAGGAGAATACACATATGTGATAAAAGCATCGTCCCTAATAAACGCAGGTCGGGTGTGGCTACAGGTTCTGACAGATAAACGCAGGTCTCCATTAGAGCCCTCGTCTGGATTTTATAGAAATTATCTGGATGTATAAAACCTCTTAAAACCCACCAGGTTGTGAATATTACCCCATCTGTTGCTCATAGTCTGTATGACACAATAAAAAGGATAAACACAACTCAGGAGATTATATTTGGAGCATTCCCATCTTTGTTGAGTTTTGTGCTAAAGGAATGAAACACGTCTCCCAAATAGACACCTGTCCCCAATAAAGGCAGGGGGAGTTCAGAGAAGCAAATACAAATTACTAGAAAGTTTGAGTTAGATAGAAAGTTAGATC